CGTGTTGATTTTATATATGATTTCAGGTCTTGGATCTCGTTGTTGCCGATTTATTGGAGGAGTATCCCGATTCAGTATCACTTGTACGTGTGTGTTTTTAGTATATATATGTGGCCATTTACATTTCGAATCATATCCATCGTATCATCTTACATCTATCACCTCTGGTGATGCAGATCAGATTGAATGGACTCTTGCATAGTGATGATAATTGTGCATTTAAGGTCTGATCCCTCCAGCATTCTCAATTCCCTAGTAAAGTTTATCAATGGATTCCTTGAAACGTTTCAATGTTCACTCTGGGGTTGATAAAGATTGCATTTCTTTCTTTATCCAAGGGGGTTTCCTTATAGTTTTGTTCACAGTTGATATATGGGTGATATTTACATTGATTTTTATAGGAAATTGCCAGACAATTGTGCATGGAACACCACCTGCTATTCTCCAAAATGGTAATGCCATTGTTCTCTCCAAATCTTCATTTTGCTCGTATTACTTGTTTAACCAATGTTTCAATTGCCTTGATTTTTTCTGTTGCATTTCCAGGCATCATCCGATGAGAATTCACAGTTCATTATTGCCATGCTGCGGTGAGTATACCTTCACATAAAGAGCCTTTTTTCCTGTCTTAATATTCAACTCAGACAAACTCATATAAAATATTTTTCAGGGAATGTGGACTAGCACATAAGACAATCATCTTTGTGCTTGATGAATTTGACATGTTTGCACAGGCAAGAGTTCTGAATTCTTACAACTTGCTAATTGTATCTTAATTAGTTTTCCATATGACATGTAGAGCACAACCTTTGATGAGCTATGGAATTGGACATTGGTACTTCCTCTCCACTCACTCTATTATTTGGTTACATATAGGGAAAGCAGCGGTTGCTGTACAGTTTGCTGGATGCTATGCAGTCTGTAACATCACAAGCTATTGTCGTCGGTATTAGTTCTCGCCTGGTATGAGCACGGCTGTACATATATACATGCTTTAGGGTTTAAGATTGTTTCTAGTAAATTTATCATTCTACAACTGTATGTTTGATGACAGTTGACTTTGGTAGTTGTTAATAGTATTCTGATTCAAAATCTTATAATATGTAATCTCTCACCACAGGACGCTGACCAACTTCTAGAGAAAAGGGTGAGATCTCGCTTTTCACACAGAAAAATATTGTTTCTTCCTCCATCAAGGGAAGAACTTGACAGGTAATGAGCAGCTTCTTTCTGTAACAAACAGAAGACTTTTCTTGCAATGAACTTGTAATATAAATAGAAACTACCTTTCCAGTTTGTTGGAACACCTGCTGTCTCTACCAGCAGACTCAAGCTTCCCCAGTGGATATGTTTCTCAGTTCAATGAAAAGATTAAGGTTCTAATATCGACTCCCAATCAGTATTATGCCGGGCTTAGCTTTTATATGATGTCAATTCTTGTTCTGAAGAGCTGATACGTTTTTAAAAATATGTCTGATGTGCAGAGTATAACATCAGACACGAGATTTAAAGACATACTGAGGACATTTTTCAATGCGAATTATACTGTCAACAGTTTGGTAAAGTTTATGTAAGTTCTTCTTTTGAAAGGGTGAGCTGTTTCTTGTTAAAGATGTCAATTTCTGTGTATTGAGGATATCTCTTGATGTTAGATTCCGCGCTGTTTCTTTAATGAATTTGGAATCTGGCCTCCTCTCTCTTGAGAACTTCAAAGCAGCACTTGCAAATATGCAAAGGCAACCAAAGTTGGAAGCGATTAGAGGTATAATAAGCCAACTAGAAAAGAATTTAGATTCTGAGTATGTTTTGCTAAGCTGTGTATACATTTTCCTTGGCAATATAGTTAAATCAATTGGCATTGACATTGTTGAGCAGATTGTTCCATACTGGAGCTTTATCTTCTAGTATGCATGAGGAGACTAGAGGTGAAGGAGCAAATCTCATACAACTTCATCAGTGTGATGAAAGGTAATCTTTATATTTGGCATAAGAAAAATGCGGGTAGCGCCATATGAAACTGACTTGGGATATCATGTGCGGTCCAGAGTATAAGACGATACACGATTCTTTCCAAACGTCGGACTACTACGCACAAAATGTGTGCCTACGGGTATGTGTATAGCTCTAGTGAGATTCCATGTTTGGAATGTGGTGGTCTAAATGGTTGGCATGACAGGCATTTGAGCACCTGAGAGAGCGAGAAGTTATATGCTATGCAGAGAATAGAGGTCAGTCTCAGACAGGTGAGTACCGTCCCATGAAGCTTTTGATATCAGCCTCTGAGCTTCATCAGGGAATGAGATCTCATGCGTGTTGCCCCGTAAGTATCCTTCTTCATCTATGCCCTCTTTTTCTTCCCTTTATTTTTTCGAGTTAAGCTGGTGTTAAGTAATTTCAGCTTGGTGATTCATGTTTTCTGCTGGAACAGGCCATTCTTGTCAAGTTATTGGACCATTGACAGTCTCTAATGGCCCCTGTGAATCTGTGATCTGTATTTGATCTCATGGTGACACTACTTTGTTTAGAACCAGTCTCTTCAGTTTTGCCTTTGCTTTGCATTTTGTCAACCCGCAATTTGTATACTATTATATTTATATAGACGGAGAGCGCATGTCAACATAATACTTGCTCAATTCCTGATTAAAGTCTTTCTCTATACAAACAACACTTCAAGTAGGCAACTTTCTCTACTACACCCAATCACCTCCGAGTCTCAATCTCAGACCCTTCAGTTCATCTAAGATTTAAGACCCACACAGATTGGACACTTCACCATATCCAGATCAA